CCCCGTGCAGGATTGTCTGATCTTGCACGGCTGTTGACCAATCAAATTGCGTGTTTCACTCTAGTTATTATATAATTAAGGCTACTCCACATGATGGAAACCCATTTTACCAAAATGCTCACCGCGCGCTCAATTTTCAAGTTTTCCCCTTCAAATTTTGCATGCATAATGATAAATCATTGCTGTAGCTAACGATTTGCCAAAAATTCTACATCTTTCAAAACTGTACTTGCTAGGGGTTGCTTTTGAAAATACGACCGCCTTTGCGCCACGAGATTAGAACGCTTCTGATTTACCTCAAAGGCTTCCGAAACATAATATTTCCCATCTCAAATGATCAAAGAACAAAACCGTGTTCGCGCTTTTTGACAGGTATTGTATTTGCTTTGATATAAAGCAGACAAGTTGACTCATCTAAATTTTGGGAGAACGGCAGAACAGATGCCTACAACTTGAAAAGTATGACACTAAATAACAAACGCGAAAACGGTTTTGCTCCTGTTAGTATTATTGTTCGACATTCTGGGAAAGTTTGGAGGGAATCGCATAAAACGTGCGCGTTTCTAAAATATTTTTGTGGGGACAATCTGAGAATATTTCAATCTCTGTAAAAGATGATATTAGATTTGGCGGAGTTTTTCCGCTCTCAGTTATCACCTCGAACTGTAATCGGATTAAAATTAGTAAAGTGTGTTTTGGCAAGGGTTTTTGGTGTCATTCACTTATTATCAGTTTACCACAAACCGTACATGCAAGAAACCACAAAAAAACTTGCTAATATGGGATAGAGGATAGCTATAGGGGATAGCTATACAAACCGATCTAAATCGGCCAAAGCAAAATGCAGTAGAAGATCTGTCGTGCACCACGAAGACAAGCGAGGGTGAAGGTCACACATCCGGTATCGAGTATCACATCAAGCCACATATTGTCAATTACAATTGCAACTTTCGCGGCAAAAAATAAGTGGTTATAACATTTTATGTCATATTTCGGACGCATTTTAATATTTTGGAAAAAAACTTACGGCAATCGAGAGATCTCCAGCCTCTGAATATAAATCAATAAAAATGTAAAAAATGATGAAATCAGTGTTTTCATCATATAATGTAACCTTAATGATAATCTTCGGGATGAAGTACGGTCGAACCCCTATAAGCGGACACCTCTCTTAAGCGGACACCTCTTTTAAGCGGACTCATATCTCAGGTCCCATTTGGTTTCTTTAATAAAAAACTATTATCATAACCCTTATTAAGCGGACACCTCTCTTTAACGGACGCGGACACCTTTCTGGAGGTCCCAATGGGCAAATCAACCTCTCTTAAGCAGACGGATGGTCTGATAAAATGTATTCAATATTCGACAGTAAATAATAATTGAAATCAATTTACATGGCACATTGACAGTGACACGCGAAGACATCCGAGCCAAGATTATTGAGGAAGTGACGAATGAGGACGGAGGACTCCAGCCATGGTGATACTCAAATTACACACTTAATTACACACCTTTGCCTCCGGCTGTGTTCTTCTACATACCCCTTTTAAGCGGACACCCTTTTAGGCGGACACTTAGGCGAGGTCCCGAAGGTGTCCGCTTAATAGGGGTTCGACTGTAATCAACAGCGGAAAAGAAAGCATCTTCCCATTTTGTCCAAGCGCTATTGACATCAAGCTCATTTTCTACACTGTCTAATAATGGAAGACTTCTCAAGGCAACTCGCATGGAATTTAAGTCTCCTTTCGACAATGGCGGAAATTCACTTTTCCGGGGGGGCAAAGCGGCCTAAACTTCCGGCAAAATTTTCAAATTTCCCTCCCATTTGCACTCGAAAAGACTGTTTTTAGCTCTCTTTAGATCAAAATTTCCGAAAATTCGGCACTTTTCCGGAAGGTGGGGGGCTGCTGCCCCCCAAGATTTCCGCCACTGCCTTTCGCATAGTCGTAGACTAATGCTAATGTCTGCAGTAATGGCTTTGTGGTCAGACTTTAAACTAACAGATTCTTCATCTGTAACAATAAAGTTATTAATCAATTATTTGTTAGTAGTAAGGATCAGATCTAATACTTTTTACCACGGGTAGGTGAGTCAAGAAGTTAAAATAATCCTGAATCTTGCAACACGTCAGTAAAACTGCTTTCAACTCTTAAATCTGAAAAGCCAGAACAATTTAACCATTTAATTGAAGAAAGAATAAAGTTTCCAAGGATAATTAAGTCCTTATAATTTGAATTACTTGCGCACTTGAGAAAACGGTTAAATTCTTGTTGAAATTCACACCAATATTTGGAGGACGATAGCATGCACAAACCAGCACATTTTGAAGACAGAATCGATAACGGCGCCTAATTGCAAGTAGTACTCCTCCACCCAGTTCGTCTTGTATGTCACGTCTGTGAACAACATAACCCCTAGGAAGTTCATGGTTGGAAATTGAACTCATGTCTAGCCATGCCTCTGTTAAAGCTATAACATCAAACTGGTTGGTCGTGACAACATCGTGGAAACAAGACAGCTTGCTTTCCTTCGAGTTACACGAGTTATCCCAATAAGTCGATTTCAGACTTCTGACATTTTGGTAGAACATGGTTATAATTAAAGTTCCGTTAACACAGTTAGTGGGACCTGGGTTAGTAGCAATGTCACCAGCAAGTAGGGTACATAATAGAAGACAAAGATTTTTAAGCTGTAAACCATAACCGACTTTGTTTGAATGCTTTATTGTCACCTTACTCCTTGGAATCATCGAGTTGTATATATTACCTACAAGAAAGTGATACGATAAACTTTGAAGCCTGCTTGTCACGTCACCCAATGGAAAATGGTCAAAACCATTTCCGGCAAATTGTTATTATTGAGCGCAAAAGAATGCAGGTATTGGCCTATATCATTTTTCTAAATCATACGGACATAAGGACAATTAAGACAGGACCATTTAAAACAACGTAGTGAAGCGGAGCAACGTAGAAGAATCAGAAATAATATTACACACGATGTTCTTCCGAAACTTGATTTGATGATTTGATTCAAGTAGTTTCATAAATGATCTTTTTTTCGCCAGTTTAACGTTCGCGACTTCGTTGTAGACTTGCGTAATCTTAGTATTGACTAATTGTTTTTACGCTTCGCTTGCTTCCAAATAATGTTTAGGGAAAGATGGCTAAAAACTTGCTCCCGGAGGGGATCGTACCTCGACCTTCGCATATACTTCAGTGCTGCTTATAAGTACGACGCACTAACCGACAGGGCCACGGGAACAATTCATATCAACGGTGTTATTTTTTTCGAAACTTACTGTTTCGGAATAAAGCAGATTTGGGAATAATAATAATAATATGGTCTCGATCAATTGACCTCTGGGTTATGGGCCCAGCACCCTTCCACTGCGCCACCCTGCTCCACCGGGTAAAAAACGCGTTGGGTATATTCTATATCGGTATAAATTCTGGAACAAATATATCTTATTTTTCGTGAAATGGTAATTAATTATTTAAGTTGTCGGCGACATGCGGAGAGTGAAAGAAAAAGTGGCAAGTTTGCTCTCTGCCAAACTATCGCAGATACGAATAATAGCAAAGGTTGGTACGCATGAATAAAAATGGCACATAGCGTGCGAGTGTAGCTACGCATGATCACACGAAAAAATAAAGAACAGCTGTTTGTTTTATTTTACTCAAGTTATACATGGTATTACAACAATTTAAATGTTCCAATAAGAAAGCCAACTTAATTTATTCTCATAATCAACACTTTACTTGCATGTAGACAATGCCATGATTAATCATTTGAAAGTTCATACTTCAAATATTCCACATACGCTTTTACAACGACTCTCCTTATAAGAACAGTTTTCTACGAATAATTTAGTACGGGTGATAATGACAGGCGTGAACCCATTGAAAAGCGGTTGGTTCTTCCAGAAAATTTACCTTCAACAATAGCAGAATCAAACGAGCTGACAGTGTTAAATTCAAGGTCGGATCCTGACGCAACCGAAGCGTAGTGTTATAATGAAATTAAAAGACATCATGTAACTGGTAAATAGACCAACGTGTTCAAGGCATTTGATTTCATTTTAAGTGATGTAAACCATTTTACAGCTTCGATCACTTTAAATACATTTCCGCTTGCAAATTTATATTCACACTGATTTAAATAACATTTTAGTATGTTAGTGACGTTGAAGTATTTAGTCATACCAATCTATAGTTTAATCCTAACGCTAAACTGCGAGCTTCGAATAATAATGAATTATGTAACCCTTTGAATTCGTGTATGGGTCTTGCCATAAAAGCAGTCTTACGGGACGAAAGGACATGTGCACGTTAAAATGCGTCCCGTAAGAAAGTACCCTGCGTCCCGCATATAACGATACCTCTGAAAGTGTCCCGCAGGCAAGTCCCGGGCGTCCCGAAAGAAAGCCCTGTGCGTCCCGCATATAGAGGGACACTTCTCAAAGTGTCCCGCAAGCAAATCCCGGGCATACATGCATACATTCATTCGTTTGAATTACTTCCGGTGCTATATGAGGGGGGGGGGGGGTAATCTACTGTTGCAAATTATATTCATTGTTATTTACCATTATGTCAAGGTAAACCAGGATTCAAGAGGGATGAAGGCATATGATTAAAATTCCCGACGCATTACAACTACCTTTGCCAAAAGCTGAAAACTTTAAGACAAGCTTCTGTTATGATGGAGCTAAATTGTGGAACTCATTACCTGCAGATATGCGTGATTCAGATACATTACCAACATTCATAAATGCAATTGACGCTTATAATTTCTAATAATAATTATGTTATTAGTTTTGTACATAATTGTTTTGTAGTTATTTGTAGGTTAGAGTGTGTAATATTTTGTCATATAATATTATGTAATCCACACGCCCCCCGTGGAAATCAGCGTATAGTCGACGGGGCCAGCGTGTGATCTTTCAAATAAAGTTTTACCTAAAGCGAAGCAACGTGAAAGAAAGAAATATAATGTTAGACTTGAGGTTCTGCCCAGACTTGAACTCGGATCCCTGGATTCAAAGTCCAAAGTGCTAACCATTACACCACAAACCATTCGATTTTTGACGTTTCATTAGTGAACTTCTCTACACCAGATTAACGTTCGCGGATTAGTTGAAGTTTTCTGGAGTCTTATTTTTGAAGAAATGTCATTACGCATCCCATATGGTAGCGTGGCCGAGTATTCTAAGACGCTGGTTTTAGGCACCTGTTATTTCGATGACGTGGGTTCGAATCCCAAAGCTGCCAGTTGTTGAAATCGAATATTTTAACCTATTAACTAAAAATTTGCTGCCTGATGGGATCGAAACCTCGACCTTCGCATATACTTCGGAACTGCTTATAAATACGACGCACTAACCGACTTGGGCCACGGAAGCAAGTCATGTTAACGGTTTATTTTTTTCATAACTTATTGTTTCGGAATGAGGCAGATTTGGACATAATAATAATAGCAGGATATGGTCTCGATCCATTGACCTCTGGGTTAGTTGTCGGTGACATACGCAGAGTGAAAGAAAAAGTGGTAAAATTGCTCTCTGCCAAACTATCGCAGATACGTATGCATTGTAAATTATTCTCATTTTTATTTGCCATTATGTCAAGGTAAACCAGGATTCAAGAGAGATGAAGCCATATGATTAATATTCCCGACGACCAATACAAATGAAGTGATGCCTAGGATTTTCTTGGCATTTTCCTCTAGTGAAAAAGGGTGTATTGGAGAAGACTCGTTCCGGATGAAATATATTCGGCGGAGGAGAACTCATATGGAACAATAGAGTAACCGGAATATCGTGAGGAAAACAAAAATAATGTTGGACTGGAGGTTCTGCTAAGATTTAAACTCGGATCCTTGGATTCAAAGTCCAAAGTGCTAAATATTACACCACAGAACCACTCGGTTTTCGACGTTTCATTAATAAACTTCTCCACTCCAGATTAACGTTCGCGGGTTATTTGAAGACTTCTTAAAACTTGTTGTTGAAGAAATTTCGTTAGGGGTCCCATATGGTAGCGTCGCCGAGTGGTCTAAAGCGTCGGTTTTTGACACCATTGATTTCGTTGATGTGCGTTCGAATCCCACCGCTGCGAGTTGCATTGGCATAACTCTTGAGGTTGTAATACGCTCCTAATGTTGTAACATTGTAGTTTTGTTGGGCAATTTTGGTAATTTTAACGACATAGTCGTCGGGAAAAAATATGTAATTCAGCCAAACATTCAGTTACAATTATTACAGAAAATTCTACAAATTTTGGTTATTTATTGGCAAATGGTAAGTCGGCAAATTCCCCCCCCCCCCTCCCTGGCTAGGCCACAATTTTTGGAAAAGAAATATTAATTAGCGACAGAAATGTCCGTCGGGCACGAGTTCCGGTACGCCCTTTTTGGTCGGGCAAACAGGGCCGCCCATAGGGGGAGGGGGGGGGGCAAAGGGGGCAAATTGCCCCGGGCCCCGAGTTGCTGGGGTCCCTGAAAAATTTTTGTTGGGCCCCAAGCTTTTTTGTGTGTTAAATATTTCCGCGCAAAGGACAAGATATCTGTTTTCTTGGGCTAAGTACCGAATTTTGGCATAAAAAATGAGATAAAGTCCCTCGAAAGCAATTGCAACGTACTCGTCCGGAAAAATTTTGTTCTTCGGAAAAATTTTTTTACCCTTTAAATGGTACACTGACCGAAAATTTTTTGGCGCCGGGGGGGAGGTTGTTGTCCGGAAAAAAAATTTTCTGGGAAAATTTTTTTAGATACGGGCCCCTAAAAAAAATTTGGCCCGGGGCCCCCGCCAACCTCTGGGGGGGGGGGGCCTGCGGGCAAATGAGCTCCCCCGCCAGCCGTAATACCCAAGTTACGCCCCAGTTGTTATTTCCTGATTCTAAATCGAAAATTTTAAAGTACAATTGTTATATATTTGCCATTTTCGCAAGGAAAACGATGCTTCAAGGGGGATGAAGGAATATGAAGGAAATTCACGAGAAGCAATCCAAATGAATTGATGCCTAGGGTAACTTAAACTTAAGGACAAATATACAAAAACAGTTCACACTTAAACTTTTACAAATATAAAGATACTACAATATGATTCTGATTTACAAGATTGCCGTGCAGAAGACTGTTTCATAAGGAAAATAAGTTGTCAATTTCTCTTTTGAATTGACTAAGAGAGCATGTTGCTCGTACATTTTGAGGAACTTCATTCCACAACACAGCCTCATTGTAACTAAAACTTAGTGTGCGATAGCAGACTAATCTCAGCCGACCCCCGACCCCCTGGAGCGGCGGAGAATCACTAATGCCATACAGTTGCTCCCACACAAGGGGGGTGGAATATGATTGTTTGAAACCAACAATAAATTACATTCTTATGTATAATAATTTATATAGTTGCTCTGCGTCCGTCATCTTGGACTTGACATTTTTTGAATAATTTTAAATTGATTATGCGAAATACTGCTCCGTAACTGTACGGTATTAGTGTCAATTGATCGCAGACTTTTTCTCCTCCGCTCCAGGCGCGGGCAGTTGGCTGAGATCAGTCTCCTATCGCTGACTAACTTCATTTACCATATAGTTCGTTCGCGGTTTCGCCGACAAATAAAGTGTTTTCAGAGTCTCTCAAATTGTATCCTGCGCTGCGGGATGCAAACAATTCATCGAGATAATGCGGAGTTAATTCATTAATTGTTTTAAACGTCAATATAGCTTTAAGCTTTTTCCGGCGTGTTGAAAGATTATCTCAGCGCAACTTACTAAAAAGGTCACTGCCTGTTAGCATGATATCGAGATTTAAGCATGATACTCGCTGCCCCATTTTGACTAGGTTTTCCTCGCCTTTTTCCACGCGTGAAATACAGAGTATTAGTAAAGACTCATTCCAGACGAAACATCTTTGGCGGAGATGAAAACATAAGACAATGGGGTGAGGCAGAACAACGTGAAAGAAATGTTAAACATGAGGTTCTGTTGAGACTTGAACTCCAAAGTGCTATCCATTACACGACAGAACCTTTCGCCGTTCGTCGATTCATTAATAATCGTTTCGCTCCAGTTTATCGTTCGCGGCTTCTTTGAAGACTTGTGGAATCTTATTATTTGACAAATATCGCTTCGCTTTCCATGAGGTAGCGTGGCCGAGTGGCTTTTTCCCTCTTATGAAGAGTCTATCTTTATAATCGACAGTTTTTGTCGGGCAAAACTCCGTACTTCGTCGAGCGAAAAACAAACAGGTGTTTTGAAGAGAATTAAAAATTATGGATAATTAGACGTAAATAATACAGCATTACGAAGCTGGCAGCAATATAAAAGTTAACAAAATGAAGTGCTGGCATTTGCCCTTTCATTACGCGGGCTCAGTGCACAAATCAATCACGTGCTTCTCTCTGTTATCTGCTCAATCCGCGTAAATATGTATCAACTGGCGTTATCTAACTGTTTACTGTTATACTGTTTTTGATCTTTTTGATCATACTTGTAGAATAAACATTTTCATTTTCATTTTCAAACACGGACAAATTCACCAGTTGCCTATTAATTGAGACAATGCATACAGCTTGTGTTGACTAAATTACACTATTAACACTTGATAAAAATTACAAGAAGATACTATAATTGATCTTAATATATAATATGCTTATGGCTATATGCATGCACCTCGGGGTAATCAATCTAGTTACATATTAGAGAGTTTACGATCTATGACGCAGCCGGCACTACTACGCGGTCTAAATTTCAGCTCATGAGAATGAGCGCTAAGCAATTTGATTACTGTAATAAATATTTGACGCTTTTTCAAATAGCCTTAGAAACTGCTAAATTCGGCAAGCGATGCAATGTTTACAATGTAACACCTCTTGGGTCGCATTAAGCTTTCACATTGCTTGAAAGACGTGATAATGCTTGTTCAACGTTGTGTTGAGAATGACAACGCCGCTGAGAATACTCCTTGGACCACGAATTATTTGCAGTGTTCGTCTTGCATTACAAATTTCTTTGTTTTGAAAGCGCGTCGTCGAGCCGGCTGGGTCGTAGACCGTAAACTCTCTATTAATTATATCTAATTAAGACGTAACTATATATGATATCTTTTCACTTTACCGGTTGAAAGTTTATCCAATTCCCTTTCGAGCAAAGAGGGAAGCAAAGAGGACGCCTTAGACAGCCGGCCAAAAACTCATGAAAGATAGAATCCCCACCCTCCCTTATCACTTTTTTGATGGTCAGTCCCTAACTCGGACATGTTTGTTATTTCAAAATAAGTCCTAAGAAGTTTTCGTTAATCGCACAACCATGCAACTATTCACGCGTGTAGATCTACATGCATGCATATACAATTCATTTTCAATACAAATCAATAAGAGGCTTTGCTCACGTGTCAACCATATTAGAATGAAAAACGAGGCAAATACCGCACAAAGAATGTAAAGTAGCGAAGCAGTGTGAAAAATTACAGACTTTTTGGATTGTCTCTCTATTTCGCTGGTCGTGTGTTATTGGCCTCGTTTTAATTCCAACATGGTTGACACATGGAAAAGGTCCATATACCATGTTTAAGATCATACGATAGTTTGTTTGGAACATTTATTAAGTGGGCCGTGCTCCCTTTGTGACATTCATTTGTTCATTTGTGGTAAGCTTTGCATTTCATAGCTCATGAGCTGTTAATTAAAGTGTCAAATATGTTACCCACATACAGTGTAGGACAATGTTACTCATATGTTAATGCATAGTGAATACATGCCTGGATTATTTGGAGAATTGCATTATCTTCAGCCCCGGATATATTATTCCTGTTGAACTACATTGTTCATTACAATGAATCAGATGCAGAATCTTACAACTATGGTTAAAAGGCACAGTTCAGCCTTTTGAACGATGGTTTTTAAGGCGCATTTGAGCCCTTTTAATTGAAAAAACTAACTAGGGAAATCAATTAAGCATAATTCAAAATCAGTAAACTCGATGTTTTTAACAATATAAATGTTTTAAAATGTTAAAAACATTAAGTTTGGTGATCTTGAATTATGATTAATTGATTTTCCTAGTTAGTTTTTTCAATTAACAGGGCTGAAATGCGCCTTAAAAACCATCGTTCAACCGGCTGAACTGTGCCTTTAATTTGTTCAAATTTGCTTTCTGATTGGAGAAAACCTGAGACTATTTGATCTTATTGGAATGCCTACCAATTTTACATAGCTATTACTAGAAAATACATGCATGCATAAACACTCACCTTGCTGACAAAACCATTGTATTTTCCGAACATGAAGTATCTAAAGTAGTTGACATGGTAACACGATAATTTTTTAAGAATATTCTTACAAATGAGAAATCACCTAAAATATCACTTTTCATTAAAGAATTATCAATTTTCCAACATATATATGTTAGGTATGTTATTATACGTAATATAAGCTTAAATTTAAGGTAAAATTCAACCACAAACGCTTCGCAAAACGTTTTAAACTGTTCTTCATAAAACTAAACTGCCTTTAATTAAATGGTTTTATCGATAAACTTTGAGTTTGCAATAAAATGGTTTCAAATTCACGCATGCACATAACTTTGCTTTCTTTTTTCTTTAAAAAAATCAATATAATAAAAAAGGGAATCAATATTAAAGATACACTGAAATTATATGCTGTCTTGTTTAGTTGTTTCATATACGCAAAGGCCGTCGGGTTTTAAAGCCATTATAAAATCAATATTTAAAACAAACTTACCTTCCTTAACGTCGGCTCCCTTCTTTTAGCCGATTCTTTCGCAATTTCTTTCTGAGGGAGCTTTTGAAATTTACAAAATCTTGCAAAAATGCGAGCAAAAATGAAATATATTTGCAAGAAATTTATCAATCATCAAATCAAGAAATGCTTGGTATTTCGCTGTCGTCATGCAGTCGTTATA